ATGAAATAGATTCCAATCAAGAAACTCCCCATTATCAACTCTATCATCGTGCTTTTCAACATAAGGAGAAAGAAAGAAGCGATCGGCTCGTATCAACAAACACGCGCGTGCACGCACACGCAGCTTTAGAAGCCACACATACAGGCAAAGTCCACGAGCTAAAGAAGGCTGAGAAGAGGATGAAGAAGGCGAAGGTGAGCGAGAAGAGGAGGAAGGAACGAGTCAGGCCGAGTAGAAGGCGCGTCGTCGTCTTGCTCGTCTCCTGGCACTTACATAGCGATTCTCGTTTTCTCCCTCTCTCTCGCTCTCTCTCTCTCTCTCTCTCTCTCTTTATCCCGAGGCCGCGATCATTCCCTCGTCCCGGCCGCGCTGCTATGCATTCGTCCCCTTCGCTCACAGCTTCTTGCAGAAAAGAAACGCGTTTAACTCCTTCGACACGGCAGACAGCACGTCGCCTGCTGTTGCTGTTGTTGCTGCTGCTGTTGCTGCTCCTGCTCCTGCTTCTGCTCCTGCTCCTGCCGATGCCGATGCCGATGCTGCTCCTCAAGAACTAACTCGTCTCTTTCCCATCCGCCCCTTCGCGCCCCTTACCGTGCACCGCGCCAAGGCATTTTCAACGAGATCTTTCCACGTGATCGTCGTCGTCGTCGTCGTCGTCGTCGTCGTCGTCGTCGTCGTCGTCGTCGTCGTCGTCGTCGTCGTCGTCGTCGTCGTCGTCGTCGTCGTCGTCGTCGTCGTCGTCGTCGTCGTCGTCGTCGTCGTCGTCGTCGTCGTCGTCGTCGTCGTCGTCGTCGTCGTCGTCGTCGTCGTCGTCGTCGTCGTCGTCGTCGTCGTCGTCGTCGTCGTCGTCGTCGTCGTCGTCGTCGTCGTCGTCGTCGTCGTCGTCGTCGTCGTCGTCGTCGTCGTCGTCGTCGTCGTCGTCGTCGTCGTCGTCGTCGTCGTCGTCGTCGTCGTCGTCGTCGTCGTCGTCGTCGTCGTCGTCGTCGTCGTCGTCGTCGTCGTCGTCGTCGTCGTCGTCGTCGTCGTCGTCGTCGTCGTCGTCGTCGTCGTCGTCGTCGTCGTCGTCGTCGTCGTCGTCGTCGTCGTCGTCGTCGTCGTCGTCGTCGTCGTCGTCGTCGTCGTCGTCGTCGTCGTCGTCGTCGTCGTCGTCGTCGTCGTCGTCGTCGTCGTCGTCGTCCTCCTCGTCGTCGTTTCTTTACCTCCTTTGCTGTGCCTTCCCCTCGCATACTCTGCGCGCTCACTCGCTCGCACTCTGTCTCTCTCTCTCTCTCTCTCTCTCTCTCTCTCACCCCCTTGAGGGAGCGCGCAGACAGACTGGCAAGCAGGCATGGAATCTTAATGAAATTACGGTGAGCTCTGGGAAATTTCGGTTTTTGTCTTTGCGCGCGCGCCTCTTAAAGCACGCGCACGCGCACGCCTGCATTGTACGTGCGTTCGACGAGTGCGGCTTTGTTGCGCGATTCATGTTCTTTTTCTCTCCCTTTATTTCCTCCTATTGTTCAAGGGGCCTCGTTCGAAAATTGGGCCGATGCGATCCGGTAGCTTGCTTTTGGGTAATCGGCCAAGCCGTCGGCAGATTAATCGTGTAATTAAGGAATTGTTTTAATTGCCTGATGGGTGAAAGATTTCTTGCGCAGTACTTTCGTGATAAATTGTAATTGACTTGAAAGCCACGTTTCTAAATTAAATATTAAGCGTGCTTTTTTTTCTTTTTCTTTTTTTTTAATGTTTGTTTTTGCTTTACCTTCAACTCGTATCGCAAATTCGTGCCTGTGAAAATTGATTGAACAAATAATTGAATGAGCAAACACTTTTCTGATCACTACACGTGGCATTACATTTTTACAAATTTCTACCAAAGCATATAATATTATTAAAGTTCGATTATTAAATTTGTCATTTCCTGCTATCTACGTTATCATTATCCTAGATGATAAAATAACAAACCCAATACTTAGAGAATATCTATGAATACTATCATTACATTAAATTTATCTAATCGCGTAACAAATATTACTAATTCGCATACGCGTGGAGAAAGACCGATATTTTTACCCATTAAAAATAAAAATAAATATATTACTTACCGTTTCTTGTTCTTGTACGCACACGCATATAAAATTTTAAAATAGGATCAAACTATAGATATATTGGTGAAATTAATACAGTTGACGTAGATTGTTTACCATTGATATTCTCATGTCTTCCAATATTTTAATGCCACTGACCTTTCTAAAATTTTATTAACTTCAAATGCTTTCAGCATTTTTCAGATTATATATATTTAGATGTAAATATATTTTCAACATAGCGAGATGAAATTTGAAGATTTGAACATTTATAAGTCATTATTAATTGGATTGTTAATACTACGTGCATTATTAATACATAATGATACATAAATTAATACAAACAATAAAATAATATACATATTTGTATACATGTGTGTTTAAAATAGTGGAAGAGTGTAAATAATCAGGGAATCGTAGTAAGTTTATTTATTATATACGTGAGTTCTAATTAATCTTATTTTTTCCGCGTAAGTACATATTATACATAAATCTTCTGCAAAAATTGTCATAATTTTAAAGCGTTAATTTAAAAAAGTTTTTTATCGTATAACTTTTAGCCTCTCATATTTTTAATTTATAATATTTTTTACAGGTATATGTAGTTGATAAGAACTTTCTTAGTGCAAAATAAATTATGTAAATACGCTGAAAAAGTATAAAATATTTTATAAGAACATTAATTTCCTACACTCCATTATCGTATTCAATAAATCTGGTTTAACTCTGATTTCCTAAGATATACGAAATCTTTCTACAAAAAATACATCTTCATTATGCTACTGTAAACTCTTATCACAATTGTTCATAAGTAATATCAATATAATAAATAAGTTAAAAGATGAAATTTTATATTATAATATAATCGATAAATAGCAGTATGAATATAATAAAAAGGAATCATGATTTTAAAATATAGAATAACTTTATAAATATAAAACAATCAATCATGTATCAAATTTTTTTTCAATATAAGATATTTTCAAATTCAGATAATATTAATATTACTAAATTCTATTATTACGAGGCATATTAATTAAATATTTAATAAAAAAAAATTTGCTATTTTGAAATATATAACGAATTCTAAAATAATTTCTAATATTAAGAATATTAATTTCTTTTATGATAATGTCTTAAAACTTTAAGCTTAATTGTATAATTATATTATTGTTATTGGAATAATCGCAGATACATAGTTTTACATTTTTAAAATTTAGATACATAATAATCTATATTCAGTATTTTTAAATTTGAAATAATTATGATAAATGCTAAAGTTACGTAATCGAAAATGTATTTTCAATTAAAAAAGTTCAGTTTTATAAAGTAGTTAAAGAAAAAACAAGCAAGCATAATTTATAAACTTCTCCATGACATTTATATTAATGGGGAAAATATTTTAATTTTAATTTAATAGATTTAAAAAATATTGTTTTAACCTATTCAATTTAATTAATTCGGACATTTGAATTGCGTACTTTATCAGACATTATTTAATTTCAGCGCACAAATAAACAAACAGTTTATGATTTTTCTTTCCAATATGATTACGAATGCGGAAGACTTAGATTCACAAAGTTTACATACAGTACAGTAAATGTTAATTCATACCACTGAATAAGTGTGTCACGCGAATAATACGTACGAGAAGGTCAGAATTATCCGTATCGAATAATTTTTTTTTTTATTAATTTAAAAATTATAAATTTACCCTCTTTCGATGATACTTAATTGCAGAATTTTAAATCGTAATACTGTAAAGCCTCACTTTTATTTCTATCTTTAGAATATTTAAAGCACAAAATCTCACGATTTACAATTACAATTACTATTGTACAATAACAATTGTACAATAAATTTACATAATTTATGCTTCTTTATTAATTATGTTATATAATTATGTTATATTTTAAATAATTTCGTTTAATTTTAGTAATATGATATAATTATAAACGCAAGAATCTACAAAAGCCATTTTATTTCTTTAAAAATCACTATAATAATTTAATTATAATATAATTTCCAACAATTTGAATTTAGTTATATTAATGATAAAAATGGTTAGTAGGTATACAATTTGCATTTTATTTCCGAAGTTATATTTACTGTTAGAATATATCCCCCCCCCCCTCCCCACACTTCCCCTACCCAATACCCCTACCCCTACCCCACACCATATTGACATTTATGGGTACAGTGTGATTTTATTTTTAAATAGATAAGGCTAAAATATTATTTGTAAAATAAACTAAAATAACATTTTTTATAATTTATATTTACATGATAAAATATAATGTACATTATATTATAACAGATTTTTCATTTATTTTCTGCTTTTAGACGTAATTAGATAAGATAATTTTACTTTTAAAAATTTAAACGATAAATTTGCGATAGAAAAGAGAATCCTTGTAATATATTTATCTGCATAGAAGCGATGTATCCGATGAAATACTTTAAATAATAATTGTCTGTTCATTTCTTTATTAGTATCGTTTGTAAAATTGAAACGTTTACAAGCACAATTATGAAAAACTACGCGTTAACATTGTTAATAATTGTTTGTATTCTCGAGGTATATAACATTGAATTACGTTTATAATTAATAAGAATTAACTCTCTTGCTGAAATACAATGAATAAAGTATATAGTTATTGATCAAATGAATTGTTTATTTTATCGCCAAGTATTATTTATTTCATTAATTATTTCTTATCCATTATTATCATTATTGTCATTAATGTAATTTTCAAGTGAGTATATTTCAATGAAACGTATTTTTAATATCCGCATGGAGATTATCAAATAAGTATGTATAGATATTCATTGATTTATTTCAAAATAAGAATTTGTGAAGTATTAATTTCTATAAAAACATATACATGTAATATATGAAATACATAGTCAATTGACAAATTTTGGATGTAGAATACTTCAGCAGATTGGAAAAATGACGTTCAGATCAGCCATTTAAAGCATGTCAATTCCATTATAAATGATGCACTAAATAATATCAAGGTGAGTTTAATTATTTCGACTCTATTTGCAAAATATAAGATTTAATCATATTTGCTCATTTGGATTATTATTCAATCATGATTATTCAATAATGAATGTTTTTGTTTGCAAAGGTATGATAAGCGTGACAAAATAATTGATGAAGTGTTTTAAAGAATAATTTTTTATTTCCTAATTTATTAAACTCGTATAGAAATTTATGATATTTATAATACAAATCAATATTTACTTAAGAATTTTATTTATATGTGTGCGTGCGTGCGTGCGTGCGTACGTGCGTGCGTGCGTGAGTGTCCGTATGTGCGTATAAAATATTTGTATTCAGTATTTTTAGTGTGTTTCTCAATATAAACGATGGAAATTATAAATTTAATCTAACTTTACAGTAGAGACTTTTGCATTTTCAACTTTAATAATAAATTTGGAATATGTTAATATTTAAAATTTTCATTGTTAACAATTTCATTATAATAATTTTTACTCTTATTCAAATTGATGATAATTTATGTAATAAATTATGTAAAATTTTTTTGTAAAATATTGTCACTACACATTATTAAATAAATTTTGAAATTTTGATTAACGGAAAGAATCAAAAAATTTTAGTCAATCTAAACATCTTAAAGTAGTCTAGCTTTTAAGAAATTTTAAGAAATTTTCAATTAAAAAGTACATAGAGATAATGTAAATATATTTTTAGTATTATTTAAATACGATAATAAATTTTTACAATTTTTACAGGCACAAGCAAGAGAAAAAAACACTGCAACAGCCCTGCAATGTCAAGAGACGGCAAGATTAGAATTAAAAAGCATAACGCAGTCCGCTTATAATCAGATTACGGGATGTACCTATCCATCAAGTTCGGAAGGTGTTGCAATTAATTGCGCCCAAAAAGTTGATTCAATTGTATTCGAGCAATCCTTGATCGTCTCTAATACCGCATCTGATTGTATTAGAAATATGTAATTATAATATTATAAACTGATATTTTTGGGGCAGTAAATTTGTCTAAAAAATTCTCTTTGACTTTTGTAAAAACGTCCTTAGTTTAATATATTTTGCCATCATACAATTAATAATGAATTATTCTCTACTCTAATTTAATTGCGCCACTTATCAAAATGAATAAAAGAAACATTCGATTTTATATTCGATTATATTATTTTGATTTTTGTATTTCGCAATTAGAATTATATGTAATTTTATGTGTCCATCAAAGTAAAATAAAAGTATCATGTATTATTAAAGTGACGACCGAGGCGTGGAAATATAATAAATATAAATACATTCAGGAATAATCATAGATAAATAATAATAGTAGTTACATTTATAATACATGTTAGTAAGAAAACTTGATTGCTAAAATATATATAGATACGAGCTTAATTTAAAACTTAATAAAAAATTTACGATGAAGCAAGTTAATAATCGTGATTTTAATTAAAACAATTCGAATAATTATAATTTACTTATATGAAGAAACGCTTTTGTTTGATTAAAGTATTAGACAATTATAAATAACGATTGCATGAGTTTAGTTTTAAAAAGTGTTTTTTTTTTGCACATGAAGTTCAAATCATTAAAAAATCGATAAATTAATTAAAAAATAAAAGATCAAGTAGACTATATAATATTTATTACCTTGTCCGTACAATAAATAACTTATATTTAAGAATTACAAAAAATAAATACAGATGTATAATGAATAAATTTAATAATAAAAACCAATCATGTTCTAGTTCTAGTAATTTTTATAAATGTACATCTATATTCACTGAGGTATGATATAATTGCATAATCGATATAATTGCAACATATGCTTTTATATGCATGTGTGAATAAGTTATATGTCGATGAATTATCAGCGCCATTCTAATAACAAACTTAGTTGATGCGAAAAACAAGTATTTCTGTGCATCACCATCGAAATAAAGATCAAATGACTAGTTCTAAAAAAAAAAGAAGTTCTAATCTATTATGAAGAAAGGAACGCCATTTTGTATAGAAGAGCCTAATAAACACATACTTCACTGTATTCACTAATCCCGTAAATTATCTTTACATATAGCATAGCCTAGCACGACAATTAAACTTGAGACTTTCTCCCATTTTATACTAATTTGCTTATATATAAGGATAATGTGATAATTCAAGTATGATGCAAGAATACTGCGAAGGATGAAATTGTCTCCGCAATTTTTACGTTACAAATACAAAAATACGAACACACAAAAAGCTCCATTTGTAATATCGATATTTACTTTGATAAGTTAATTTAATTTGTTAATTAAATGTAAAACTATAATGGTATTTTGTCTTTTAAAACAGAATTTTACTTTTCAAATTTTTTGCATAAAAATGTAAACAATTGGGAATCTGAACGGTGTGATTATATGCAATCCTAAGTCATATAATTTTAATGTACAAATTATTATAAATGAAATAATAGAAATTATATTTCAACTAGTCTTAAAAATATTTATATTTATTCTTTTGCATATTTATTTTATATATATATGTATATATCTATTTTTTTTGTATAAACAAATGTCTTAGTTTTTAAAATAACAAACATATAGATTTCTATAATAAAATAAAATATTTTGCAATTCCTTATTCTATATACGTAATGCATTACCTATTCGGAATAATTATCAACTTAATAAATTAAGTTCGTTTTTTAAAAAATATTGCTTCCAATTTGTTAGTCCATGCATTGCACTTGTTTTTATTACTCACTTGCCAAGATGATTTTTTATAATATAATATTTGCAGTAGAAACTAGTTGTTGTTGTTTTTAAGAATTTTATAGTTGACATTAAAAATAAACTATAATTTTTTATTTTATTTACTATCTCTTATTTGATTTGGAAATATAGATATTTTTCAATACAAGCTCCAATTAAAATAATGCTAAAGTAGCAAAGTAAAATGGTATGAAGTATTTTATGAAGGATTTTTTAGGTATTTTTTATTTTAGGGGGAAAAAAAATTCACTAAATATTCAATACGTACGATCGATAGATCGTCGAAGAAAATTGACAGTTCGATTAATCGATAGTTTGACAGATCCATACCTCGATATATTAATAATTTAAATTTTAAATCAATAGATAATTATAAAATTTAATGAAAAGGAATTTATTTATTGCTTGCATAATGTTTGTTATGAAACTAAGATTTATAAATATGAATTATTATATTAATACTTACATCATTTTAAAGTACTCTTTATTCAATATTTAAATATACATTTATTATTATATTATTAAATATATATTACCATTATTTATCAATATAAATAAGAATATTTTTTTATGTAATTTTCTCTAATCAAGGAGGATCTTCATTTTTTATTTTTGAATTATCTTACAAATGTTCATATAAAGTATCATGAAATATAATTTTCACGATTCATTTTAATCGATGACGAACATTTATTTTATTTAATTACAAACATCTTTTAAAGGCAAAGAAAATATAATTAATAATAATGTTTAATTCTCTCGTAATACTGTTTTTAAGAGAAAATAATATTTTGAAGTTATGATACCATAAAGTTCTTAAATCTTGTTAAGTATTAAAACATGCACATGAAGAATGTAAAATTTTCTTTTATATTTATAAGAAGGGCTATAGAATTACCGGTTGACTATATATTAAATAATTCATCATTGATATTATAAATTATGACAACTAATTGAGACATAATGATGAAAAATAAATAAATGATAATAACAATTCAAGAGTATTTTTAATTTAGATGTTTAATTATTCGTGAATTCGCATATATTACGTCAAGCATAGCTGCTTGTAAAACTCGTTTATTGAAATAAAATAGTAGAAATAAAAAAGAGTTTTATCTATTCACAATTAAAACGTTTATTACATTGAAAAGCTTTCTTGTATTTTACGAAATGTAGCTTAAAATTGTTTTCTTATATTTGTATATTTATATCCATCCCATAGGTTTTATTATTTATTTCATAAATTTACAGATAAATAAATAAATGTTAATACTATATTTGCTTATAAACTATAAATGAAACTATGTCAAAAAAAAATAAAAAAAAAAAATAAATATATTCTTTAAACATTTTTAGGAGTAATTCAGAGTAATGTATATTATGAATTGTAAATATTCAAAAAATTTGCATTAATACTAAGTAAAAGTGGATATAATAGTTTTATAAAAAGTTTTTATGCCAAAATAATTGAATATTAATTATAATGTATATTTATTCGGCTTAAAGTTGAATTCCTTATAATAATTTATTGTTTATGAAAATAAAACGTATCAATTGATAATTACACCACTTATTCTAATATAACCTAAATGAAGTTATCAGCCCGGCTTATTAATCATAGTTTTAAAATATTGTTTTATTTACATCTCGAAAAATATGATCCTTTTAAAATTTATTTATTATATTATTTATAGTATAGGTGTTATTGTTTTTATGTGTTATGTTGATATATTATACATGTACAATTTTTACCAAGATTGGTTATTTTGTGATATTAAAAATAATTCAGAATATGATTACCTTATTGGTATGTATGTTTTTAAATGTAATTTTTATAAGATACTGATTTAATGAATTATAACATAATTAAATATAATTTGAATTAGTTGGAGCTGGAAGTTCAGGATCAGTGTTAGCCACACAATTATCGAAAGTAAAAGCCAATGTATTATTAATTGAAGCCGGTGGTACTCCAATTAATTTCTTCGATATTCCCGTTCTCGCACCATTGCTTTTAAATACTGTGTACGATTGGAAATATGTGACAGTTCCACAGAAAAATGCTTGCAAAGGTTTAAATAACAATCAAAGTATATGGTCTGCTGGAAAAATTTTAGGTGGCTCAAGTAGGCTCAACTATATGGTATACGTTCAAGGACATCCAGATGATTATAATCCATGGCTTTCTGATATTAAAGGTCAGTATGTCACTTTAAAACTATATCTATATTGTGGAAATATATTTAATATAATTTTATTTTTAAAGAACCAATTGTTGATAGAGGCGGCTCACTGTATGTCAGTAATAAGAATTGGTATTCAAAACTTTCTGATGCGATATTACAAGGTGTAACAGAATTATCATATTCTTTAAGAAATTATAATAAAGTATTACCAACAGGTATAACATATATATAACATAAATGAATTCTTTGCTATGCAATATATTTATTACTATATTATTGTGAATTAGTATAACGTCTATTAATTGTTTATTATATTAATTACTTTTACCAGATTTTATGAAACCATATTTGACGATAAAAAATGGTGAACGATGGAGCACAGATAGACTAATTAGTGAAAGTAACGATATAAAATTAAAAATTTTAACCAATTCATTTGTAAATAAGGTAAATGTATGTTTGAAAATTTAATTTGTTATTTGAGGAAAATTAATAAAATTTCATCATTTCTAGATTCTGTTTAAATCAAAGAAAGCAGTAGGTGTTGAGTTTTTAAGAAATAATCAAATCTATCGGGTATTTGCTAAAAGTGGAGTAATTTTATGTGCAGGAACAATTGGTACTCCAAAACTCTTAATGCTTTCAGGAATTGGACCTAAGCAAAATTTAGAAAAGCATAATGTAAATAATTCACTGATATCCTATATTAATACATTCTTAATTTTGTATATAAATATTGTTTATTTTTAATTATTTAAATTTGCCAGTGAATATTCAATTGCCAAAAGCAATTCAAATATTTGAAATATATTATGTGATTAAAGTTACCTTTTTTAGATTAAAATTGTAGCTGATTTACCAGTTGGTAAAAATTTAATGGATCACATAATCACTGGAGTTGATTTGGTAATTTTAAACACGAGCGTGGCTTTGAGTATCGCTGATATTATAAATCCTTTTTCATTATTAGAATATTATTTATTTAAAACAGGTATAGTATTATACATTATTTTTAATTTTTATTAATATAAAATAAGCATTATTTTTTTAAAATTATTTAATTTTATTAGGACCATGGACTTCATCCGGAGTAGATGTAATTGGTACATTACATAGTCAATTACAAAATAATAAAACGTCTGTACCAGATCTTCAAATAATGACATTTCCTGTTGGCCTGTCACAAGACAATGGAGTCTTACTAAGAAAGAATTTGGGAATTTCTGATAAAGTTAGACATTTAATTAATAATATATGTAGTGTTCAATTATGAATAATGAATTAAAAAGTTTATTTTGTAGATTTTTAATGAATATTTTGCACCTCTTGTATATAAAACAGCAGTCACCATTGCACCTGTTTTGCTGCATCCCCAAAGTATTGGAGAAATACAATTAAGAAGTTCAGATTTCCATGATAATCCTATTATTGATCCAAACTACTTGTCGGAGGAAGAAGATGTCCTTAAATTAGTAGATGGTATAAAATTATATATATATATATATATATATATATAATGAAACCCAATTAAGAGTTTGAGATTATACTTTATTTTAGGAATTGAATTTATCAAAAGGCTAATTAATACAAAAGCAATGAAAGAACTTGGAGCTATTTTGTATGAAAAACCATTTCCAGGATGTGAAAATATTACTTTTGATACTATAAATTATTGGAAATGCTATATAAAACATTTAACATTCAGTACATATCATCCAATAGGTACATGCAGAATGGGCGATGTCGTTGATTCAAAATTTAGGTAAAATTGCAAAATAATACTTAAATCTAATTTATTTACGTATGGTATTTTTCCCTAGAGTTTACGAAACTAAAAATTTATATGTCGTTGACGCATCAGTCTTTCCAAAGCTACCAAGTGGTAACATAAATGCACCTGTAGTAATGCTTTCTGAGAAAGCTGCAGGATTATTTATTAAAGACTTTACAGATGGTACTAAGAAAACATATAAATGTTATAAAAGTGATGTATTTTTGTTATTTAAGGAGTGTTATTAAATATTATATTTCTATAAAACTTTTTATCATAATAGTGATATATATTGAATTAATATTTTATTTTTGATACTTTATAGATAAATTATGTATTGCTACTATCTCTCTTTGAAAACAACTGAATGTTTCTTATTTAGTAGACAAAAGACAACTGCATGTATTTTCAGTAAATTTTTGTTCAAATATCTTTTGGTTTACTTTACTAACACATGTGTCACATACAATTTATATTTATTGTTTATTTTTTAACTCAAGTTCGCATATTAACTGAACAAACAACTTTTAATTCATTTGTGACAAATAATAGAAAATTAAAGTATAATGAAGTATTTTTAAATCAATATCAGCCTCTTATTTTAAGTTCTTCAAGAAACAATAGAAATGTTCAAGTTACGGAAAGAGATCGATACAACATTTTAAATGATTTTGAATCACAAGATACCAACATTTTATCGGATCCAAATATTTATAAAAACAGCCTTTTTGTATCAGATTATGATAAATGTAAAAAAAAAGGAAAGAATTTAAGATTAATCATCGTGATTTTGTCACATCCTCTTAATTATTATGCTAGAAAATCTATTAGAGAAACATGGGGTCAGTTTCGACAATACAAAGAAATTCAAATCCTTTTTTTCTTAGGTATACGGACAGATTTTTGGTTACAAAAACAAGTTTCAAAGGAGATCAAGGTTTATAATGATATTATACAAAGGTATCTTCACGATACAGATGCAAACTTAAGTTATAAAACTAATTTTGCATTGCAATGGATAAACGAGTATTGTTCAGAAGCTAAATTTATGTTAAAAGTACACGATAATGTTTTTTTAAATGTGCCACAGCTAATGATATTTGTGAAAACTCATATGAAATGTAATAATACTATTTTTGCAAAATTTTCACAAAATATTCCATATCTTTTTTGGAGCAAACAAAATAATTTAAATTATTTTGCATCACAATATAAAATGCCCCTCTTACCAGTTTTGGTTGGGGACACATATTTGCTGACTAATGACACCGTAAAAAAATTATTTAAGAAAGCTTTGGAAAAGTACTTTCTATTATAATTTATAATTTTCAATCCTAATTTATCACATACATTGAAGAAGTATATTATCATTAGAAAATTACAATTTTTTTAAAGTTTAATTTTATTAAAATAAGTATATAAAGAATACATTCAAATGTCAATTTTATTTATTTCATATTTTTATTATTGAGTAATTTTATTGTGGTAAGTTAGGCTCTATCAAAGAATATATTCGTTTAAAAAATTTACAATTATAAGAATAATTTCATTTTTAAGGAAAGCAGCTAGAATAAATGATATTGTTATGACTAGTATTATAGCCGAAGATCTTAAAATTAATCGCAGAAATATTGATAAATTTCTTTGTCAGCATGAAAAAATTGATCCTTGTAATTTACACGAATGTATTGTTTTGCAAAACGTTGAATCTAACGAACAGCATAATTTATGGAAAATATTGTTTGCTTGTGATCACCATTGTCCTCAATATCATTGCTATCAATCATTAGCAAAACTTGTGCTACCAAATACTTATATCTTATTTATTTTAATTGTAAGTCATTTGATAATAAATATGTATCAAAAATACTTTCATTAACAAAATTTAATGAAACAATTAATTTTTAATATTTACTTATATGTAAGATAAATGGTATAATATTAATTTTGATAAGTATAATAATATTTATTGAAGTATTACAATGTATGAAAATTAATTGTATTTATCTTACTATCATAAATTGTGTTTGCTAGAGTGTTTATTTTTTAAATTTTAATGCATATTAACAGTAACTACTAATGTACAGGAAAATTAAATTTTATCAAAACATTTATATTTGATATTGACAATATTTTTATTAAACTTTCCAGCTTAGAATTTCTTCTTTTTTTATTTTACAAATGAAAAATGTAAAAAGTAAAATCAAATGTAAATTTCTAAATGAAAATCTAAAATATTGAATATAACAAATGTAATGCGGACAATTGAATAAAATAAATATTATTTTTTGCATTATTTATAAAAAATTTTATTTTTAAATTGATATAGGTACTACAATTAACATTAATAACATATTTATTAAATATATTTCAATGACATTGTTTCATCAATGATTAAAGATTTATTAACTGTTAATAAGAAGAATCGGATGTAAATTATATCATAAGTATTACAATCTAATATATTAGAAAAAATTTTCTTACTAAACTAATCATAACATTTTTAATTTCAATGAAGTTATTTTTTTTTTAACATATTTAATATTTAAAATCTGTGTCATTATGAGAAAGGCATTAATATAATCAATTGATGTAATTGTAAAATTATTTTTCAACAAACATTTTGTTTCTAATAATAAAAATTTATGTAGACAATTTTTTTTTTTAATAATTTTATTGATCATTCGAAATTTCTATTTCTATATATCGTTAGTTACAAAAATAAATTTTTTCAATATTAAGAGTTAGTGTTTTATATTTAATAGATTGATTAGTATGGTCTAATTTATTTATATATTTATGTAATATTGTTATTAATAAATATTGGCTTAGAATTGAAAAAAAATTATTTTTGTAGTTAATACTCATTGATTAATGGTTACAAACTCTTGATTGTAATTTTTTATATTATAAGACAATATGTTTCAGCAATAAATATATAATAATATGTATTGTGTCGTTTAAAGAAAATTTTCAGCCTAATAGTAATATTTCTAACAGGTAAAATAATGGAAATTTATAATTTTGCATTATAATTATTATGTCATTTTGTATTTGATATTTTGTATTCAATTATAAACATTAATTGTAATATCAAATGTAAGAGAAATTTTTATTCAAAATTTATAACTATAGCTTTAAGAATTTTTTAATTAAGAAACGTATCGGATGTTACAAAGAATTAATCAACACAGGTATTCATACATACATACATACATATATATATATATATATATATATATATATATATATATATATAAATATATATATATAAGTACACACATGCGCATGTATTCAAATAGATTTTTACATGAATATATGTACGTATAAAAACGTATTTAAGCTTAATGTAGCTACTATTTGAATATAAATTCATATGATTATAAAAGAAAATTAATTAAGTCAAATTTTTCTTCGTAATTGCAAGATAATTGGAAACAAGATTTACATCATTTTATAGGTCAGTAATTATCAAATAATTCTAGTAATATTTTCTCTTATCATGACGATTTGATCGGTGAGATGAGCTTTTATAAGATTTATGGTCACGGTTAAAGGATTCTTGACGACTGCTATGTCTATCGTTATATCGATCATGATCTATATAGGGATGATTTCTACTATGATGTCTATTACTTCTATTGTATTCTGCAGAATTTTGAGGCGTTTGAGAATAAAGAGAAGTTTGACTAGGATAAGCAACAGAACCTGGCATCATAAACATAGTGTTTGGAGAATTAGAAATATATGCCATAGGAGCAATAGCACCCAACAAAATTTGTTGTCCTAAATACAATTCGTTTTGATTATCGCGTCTGTTATCAAATACATTTCCTTGCGGCTGTTGCTGCTGTTGGTGATGAGAGCTGTCCAAATTATTACTTCTGGATTTCATATTCATTGGTCGATTGAATAAAACTGTACCATCAAACAGGTCCAAAGCATACGGTACCGAGCACACATGCTTATATGTTACAAAACCAAAATTTTTTTGTTTACCATCGCGGTCCTTTGGTATATTCACTTTAGTCACAGGCCCACCCTAAAATAATTAATGATAAAATCAATCATCGGTATTTACAGAAAAAATATAAAATTATTTCGTTTATGCATACTACGCTATGCGCAATCTTATATTAATAACTATAAAGAAAATAATGAAATTATAACCAATAAATGTTAGCAATGGGAAAGTTACCTGCATAAACAATTCGTAAAGAATGTCTTCTGTAACTTTATCGTGTAAATTACCGCACCAAATTGTGTTTTCATCATCATCCATTGTTACTAACAATTTTAATGTAAATGGTTATACTAACCACACAGAACTTTCAACGTTTTTATCACAATGTGTAAATATAAATATACACAAAAACTATTCCATACTACAGTACTTTTATTGCATATTCGTCATTTGTATGAAAGCAATGGCGGTTACTTTGTATCGCACTAGAATATTTGTTTACATTAAAATTTCTACATTAAATATTTTAATCGATAAAATGATTTTTATCGAACAACGGCTCGACTACGATGTTTAAAATTTTATTTCGATTATAAGAATGATATAAATGCAAAAGTTATTTGATTTTACATAATTGTAGCTTATGAAACGATTGCCGTATCAAATAATAATTCAACAGTTGTAATTGCTTATTTTAATTATTTAATATATAATTGCAATATGCAATAAAAATGAATCCGACAGTAATTTAAGAAAAAATCATCAATCTTGTGTAATTTCTTATATGTATTCAGTTTTGTTCACAGTTCATTTTTATCTACTCATTCGCGAAGAAGATTCTTTTATTTATAGTATAATTTTATGTGGTAAAGAGATTTATTTATTTTACGTTTTTTCAATTCATAATTTATCGACAGCTTAATTATATATATATATATATATATATATATAATCTCAAAATATTCATTCTATAGTAAATTTATTTTATAAATTTAAAACATATTTATTATATTCATTAGTATTATATTTTGTAGAGATGATTTATTTTATGTTTAAAAGAATTTAACGCATATTTAAGAATTTAATTATAATTTTAAAAAATATGTTTAATCAATAAATCGTATTACAGAAATAATAATTTACGATAATAATAATTAATAATATGCACAAGGCTTTATTTTAATACTTTTTTAATTGGATACATCTAATAAAAAATATTATTAGTTTAATTGTTTCATTATTACTGAGGAATATATAGACAATTTACATATACAGAGAAGATTGAGCCAAAGGCAACGAACATGAATAATTACGCAAAATTTATAAATTTCAATTAGAAATTACATCCTGTAAATAGTGCTATTATCAAACGAATGTTATAATATTTGATTATTTTGTAATGTAATGTTTAAATAAATGAAAAAATTTCTAAGATTATTATAATTTTCTAATTTTTATTGTATTTTAATATTGTATCTTTAATAACAAATTACGTAAATTATCAATGTTATTTGATTGATGTTAAAGCTACGATACTATGACATTTGGCACTAATTGTTAGCGTTAAATTTTGAATTTTTCTCTTTTATCGTGACATCCTTTAAAATTCCAAATTTTTCGTATTTTCTTTAAGTCGGAGTTTGAATCGACCATGCAATAGCTTAAGATACATTCGTTTGTGCTATTATAAAGCGATCGATCAAAGCATTCTAAAATAAATTACAAATATTTTAATTTAGTTGGAATTTAGTTTCTTTTAAATTCCACATGTCCTATTTATTGCAAACTCCGCTGGCACTGTCGATTAAATAATAAAGTCCCGATTATAACAATGTCGTATAGAGAGAAAAAAAAAAAATCGTCGTTTAATCGTGGCAAATGCTTTATTTAGTAAACATTTTTCTTATCACAATAATTCCTCGATTTCTTTATACCCAACGTTCCGCGCACTCAGTCTCATCGAGTTGCCGGTAAAAATAACGTCGGCATTATTGAACGAAGGACTTTCGTCGAGTCGTCGTTTATACGACGATAGCCCGGAACAAGAAACGTATACACGAAATAAATAAACGAAGCCAGCCCAGCTATTTAAAAACCAATTGATTTATTAAGAGACATTAAATTAAATGCGCGCGCGCTATAAGACTGGCAATTCGATCGGCAAACAACACATTACACCCAAGTGGCAGCTCCTCAGCTTTTACTTTCTGCAGTGTCTGTACCGAGGTCCCCCACTCCTTGAGGAGAATTGTGATTGAAAGATGGTCTAAGTTTCGCCTTCGAAAAGCTCCCGAGTTTTGCCGCTCTTGTCTCGTGTATTATTATCGGTGCATTTGATTCGGTTGGTTGTAAGAATCGAGATTATTTTGATTCATTCATTTCATTCATCCGTACTATTTGTAGTACACGCGCCTTGGATAAACTTACCTTCGTAGGTATTGGGCGGACTCCTCGCTATCAACATCAACTGCTCGCAACAGTCAAGGTTGAAAAGAGACAATCGTGAAAAATTACGACGGCGAAGATATTATTATTGTGGGCAAAGGCTGCTGGCGCGCGTAGTGCTGCTACTCTTTGATTCGTAGGACCGGCATCGACGCGAGGATGTCGGACAAGGAAGATCTTAGGCCGGACGAGGAGGCAAACAGGGATGAAATACTTCAACCCTGGGTGCCTTATAGTCAGCGAGAACAGTGGAGGGACGTCGTGCCTATAGAGCAGGATGACGGGCCGAATCCAATTGTGGTTATTGCCTATTCCGAGAAGTGTAAGTAGCCGCGTAGTTCTTTAATTATAATGATCGGAGGGAGAATATCTTATGTATTATTATTTATTTATTTATTTATTTATTTATTTTTTTTTTTTTTTGAAGGGCATAAGCCATGCGTAGGCTGATCAGAAGCTGAAATTTATTTGTATTTTTTGAATCGACAACATAACCTTACTTTTCGTTTGTACTTAAAATTTTTTTCTATTCATCAATCGTCTATTAACGCATCTTTGAAACATGATTTGTATTTTATATTGTTAATAAAATTATTTATTTTGTTTATTGGCATTCTTTCAAATTACTGACTTATTTATATTAATCATCAGTCAATCAGTGGAATTCCTGGAGCTTGTGGCCTAATAATTTTTGCTGGATAAAGAGTGCGTAGATCATTATCGATCGTATTATTAAGATAATATTTATAAAATACAAAATAAATAAAAGCACTTGTAAATTATTTAAATGAGATATGTTAATAGTTATCGCAAGTGCTTTAAGGAGGAATTTTTAAACTTTCATTCGCTTAAAATTCATACTATTTTTCATTTATTATAAAATTTTTTTAATTGAAGAAATTGAACTTATTAAATTTAATCAAGTTGCTTTTCACCTTTTTATATAAATACCTTTAAAATTTAAATTATAAAATATCGAATGTTACCTTAGAGTACATTGATTTTAAGTATCATAATTTGCCATTACTTTTGAAAAGTATAATTATTTATATTCATTATTGTGTCATTTATGAGATAGAATTGATTAAGGTATTAACTCACAAGTGTCGTAAAATCGATCGATAGTCATTAATATAAAAGTTAGAAATAAAAGTTTGTCTTTCTTTGTTAATCTTCTCTATCGTTAATTTCAAATTCTTTTATGAATTTATACTTTCTACTTTGTTTAAAAAATGTTTCACAATTGATTTTTCTAGTTACAGAAACACATAACTACTTTAGAGCCATATTAAAATCCAAAGAAAAATCAGAACGTGCATTAAATTTGACTGCTGATTGCATTTGGTTAAACGTAGGTAATTATACAGTGTGGCAGTATCGAAGAGAGATTCTTAAAGAGCTTGGAATTGATCTCAAAGATGAGTTGAAATTTATTCAAGTAGTCATTAAATGTAATTTAAAGAATTATCAGGTTTGGCATCATAGAAAAGTTATTGTCGAATGGATGCAAGATCCCAGTGCGGAACTTGAATTTACCAGCACAATTTTAAAAAGAGACGCGAAAAATTATCATGCCTGGCAATATAGACAATGGGTTATATCAACGTTTAAGTAAGTATATTTTATTAATCAAACTATTAAATATGCCATTTATTGTATTAAAATTTTGTTTATATTACTATCATTGTTGTTATTATTATTATTATTATTATTATTATTATTATTATTATTATTATTATTATTATTAATATTTTTATTAAAAAAAAGAATATGTAAATTAACAATACAGTTAAAGTTTTAATTAATGTTGTATATAAAAATAAAAATTAAGAATATTTTTAAATCTTTTCCTACTACTTTTTTAAATCATTGCTTTCATAAAAAAGATGATTAACATTCGTTGAGAAATATATTGAATTTTGTTCATATAAATATTAATAAAAATTTATATTTAATTCTTAATTATAATATCATATAATTTATAATGAATCTATATAATGAAATAATATTTTCTGTTACAGTTTATTTAAAAATGAATTGGAGTATACTGATGATTTAATATCAGAAGATGTATGTAATAATTCTGGATGGAATCAACGATACTTTGTTTTAAATAATACAACAAAATTTGAACCAGAAATTATTGATAGGGAAGTCGATTTTACGCTTAAAAAAATTTCACAAATACCTGGTAACGAGAGTGCTTGGAATTATTTGAGAGGGTAAATGAAATTCTTGAATATTGTAATAAATGAAACAAAATTTGATAATGATTTTATTATATAAATACTTTCAGAATTTTGATGCATGATAAGAATGGAGGCTTAGCCTTTAATAAGAAAGTATTGGAAAAGTGCAAAGTGTTGTATAATCTTGGATATAGAACGAATCATCTCCTAGCTTGTATTATCGATATCTGTCAGGAAAGGCATTCTACCAATGAGCCAACGGAATCTTTATTTCATATTCTTCAGGCATTCGAAGTAATTATATAATAGCATATTATTAATGCATCGTTCTAATTCTCAAATTAATGATTAAATTTATATTCCAGTTATGTAAAGATTTAGCAGAAAAATATGATAAAATTCGCAAGAGGTATTGGCAATATATTAGCCAACAATTAGCACAAAAATTTAATGATGTATTATAGTGATATTAATAACCACCAAAAAAAAAAAAAAAAAAAAAAAAAGTGAAAAAAGAAGAAAAAAGAAACAATATTTTTGTGTATAAGCAACTTAAGATAACTAAATTAGTGGACTCTTTAGTGTACTTATACCGCTGTTTGAACTTTGTTCAATGCATTCCCATCGTTTGACCCTTAATATAGTCTTCACATAGAATAGTAAATAAAGAATATAATTTAAATTTTACGATATTTTTACAATTTTAATATGTTCGTAATAAAGTAAACATTTTGTATAATATATTTTTACACTAAAGGTTAAACTAATTAATAAGTAACAGAAACAATTTTTATAGTTTTATGTGCATAAGAGATAATAATATAATAGAGGATTTAACTATTTTAAATATTTTTACATACTTTTCGATTTTTATATAATTAAATTAAAGTATATATTAAATACAGTTATGTAATATTAATAATGTTGAGCAACTTAATTATAGATGCTTGAAATCATACAATTTTTGGACTACCTACGTGATCGTTTCGTAAATGTTATTGATTTATAATCTATATTTTCATTTTTAACGATTGTTGGAAAAAATGTACATATATTCTATTTAAAAAAAAAAAGAAAAAAGAAAAAGAAATTAACGAACTTTTTGCTTGTAAAGTGTGTGTTTGAATTTTCAATTATTTGAAAAAATAAATTTTGTAAGACAATAGGCAATTCAATCTTGTATATATTAACATCAATATGTTATTTCAAAGCAATGCCTTTCTGTATACAAAAATTTTATCCTTATTTTATCTAATATGCTAGTGATCAAAGCTAAAAGAAATATTATATTATAAAAGCTTAACTGCAGGTATGAATGTATAGAAAAATTACAAGAATTGTAAAAAAATAATAAACTTTATATTATTTAAATTTTTGAAATATGTTTATATTTTTCATAACTGATCAAAAATCCGATTCTAGAACAATTTTCAATGAATTAAATATATTAAGCATTTATTAGCAATAGTTTTCAATTATTTGAAATATATCTTTAATTTTGAAATTCACTGTACTTAAATATATATATATATATATATATATATATATATATATATCAAATTCCATTTAAAATAATTATTTAACTATAAATTAACCTATGAATAACACAAGTGAAAAATAATTATAACTTCAGGTTATATAAATTTTAAGCAAATAATTAATTAACTAATCGGCGATAGTCATATTTGAAATTATTTAGTATTTTATCGAGCTTGTATTAATTTTCTCGTAATTTTCTGAATGAACATTTGATGAATAAAACAGATTTGTATTCGGTTACTTGTAGCCTTTATTTTCATTAATTTTTTCAAGTTCATTCTAGGCCTACGAAATTGTATTTATGTTAAAAAAAAAATTTTATTTTTAATTTTCAACTATTTACTTGTTAAAATAAATCAGCTTTAAATACAATATTTCTAATTATATCCTTATTAATTAAGAATAAAAAATTGAAATAAATTATCATTATTATGTGTAGTAAAATATTGTTAATAATGTTGTTTTTATGTTCTGATAATTTTTAGTAAAATACATTTGTGAATTAATTAAACGAGTCATTATTAGAAATTAATTATTTCTAGTTTTAAGTTTTATATAGTATAAAAAATGTATTAGGGATTTATTTCACTATTGAAAAATCATAATGGATGTAATTGGATATAATAGATATAATATAAATTGTGTAAATAATCTGTAGAAATAATCAGAAATAGAATAATTTATGTGGAACATATAAAATAAATGAATAATTTTTCTTTTATAAAAATATCTTCAGCTATTTAAAGCCTATGAGTCAATTATGATGTAATGCATATCATCGATATTGTTAATCGCAACTAAAATAATATAAATAATATACTTATAAGAATAGTAAAATATTTTATGAATAGAAAAAGTTATTTTAAGAATATTTATAATAAGGGTATTAAATGCAAATTAATAAGGATTTTTTGGAAAGGTTTGACAGATGACAATCGGTTATCTATTTATTTTTATAAAATAGGTACATACTCCCATTTAATATACAAGATAAATTCGTTCGCTGTATAAATAATTATAATGAAATTAATTAATAAATAAGACATGATAGCTTCTTATATAACTCTGCAACGCTTTTATTTCAACAATGTATAAGAGAGAATAACGAAAATTTTGGTTGATTAAACTTGTACTTAAACTTCCACACTAAAAAAATATTCCTTGCCATTATAATGTAATACATTTTTATTGAAATATATACTGTTTATTTCGAAGATAATTAAACCAAATTAGTTGAGAATAGTATTTTTTAATTTAAAATTTTTATTTTGTAATTTCGAAATAATGTATCGCAATAATGTTGATCGAAACATTTTTCTAGCTTTTAATAATAAAGCAGTACGAATGTATTTCTATTAATTTTTTAGTGCGTAGTCTTAGAAAGTAGTTATTACACACATAACATAAGCATTGTGTAAGTAGCTATAAATTGATATGGTAATGTGTCCTTTCTGTACATTTTCGCGTCAAGTTTCTTAATTTTTTGTTTGTTTTTGTTTTTAATTTCCTTGAGGCAGTGGCTAATCAGACTTAGTCGAAGCAAATTTTAAGCAAAGAAATATTTTAAATATTGTTTTCTCGTTGCGGATAAACGTACAATTAGTATGCTATAATTGCGCTTCAAGTTCTTTACTGCATCAACAAAATTAAAAATATTTTTTTCATTGTGGGAGTATTTAATATATTATTTCAACATTTTCATTTTATTCATTATAATGTTTGTTTTTATAATATGATATAACTCTGATCCTAAATACTTTTATTCCATGACATTCAGCAGTACAATTTATAATTATTTAACAAATTTATTGGTTATTTATTATTATTGTGTGTTCTTTTTTATTTTTATAGTTGGTTTTACTTTTGCATTATCATTGTTTTTTTTTCTATTTGTATATATATAATTTAAATTAAAAACAGCATTTAACTATATTATGTTTGAAAGGTATTAACTGTGATAGAAAATAATGTAATCAACTTATCGAGATTTTTTTATATAAGATTCTTATATTTGTTCTCAATTATTAAAGATAATTAAAAATATTGATTTTTGCATTACAATGGGTTTTTTTTTTTTTTTTTTTTTTTAAAGCTAAAATATATTTAAATGCTATAATTATAGATGAATATCGTATAAAGAATATTCAAATATTCAAGATACAAAATTATCGTTTCATTATTAATTTTCCAGATTGATTAAAAATTTTTTATTATTAATGAATTTAATTAAATAGATCGTTTCGAATACTTTATATTTTTATAATAATATAATATATTAATACTTTATACTTTTGAAATAAATAAATATATGATTTTCAATTTGAAAAAGAAAATAATGCAAAAGAGGTTCATTTACATTTATATAATAAATTTGTTTGTTTTACTTCTTTCATACTTTTATTTAGTTCTTCTTTTATAGAAGAATTGCTTAAAATAATAGGTATATCGGATTTTCATTTATTTGTATTAATTTGTGTTATTCAATTATAATTTAATTACAAGAATTATTGGTATTCTTTTACTGAATTTCTCACATAGGTATGTAAGTATTTTTTTGCTAACATTTTATTTATGCTAACATTTAACAACCAACATTCAAACAATTACATCATTATACGCTTGTGTATGCTGTACCATTGAAAGTAGTTATTAACTATATCTTTTTTCCATTAAAAAATCATATAACTGAAGCTTTATTTTTGATGATGCATTTGAAAAAATGTTATAAGTAAATAAATATTATTTTACAACCATTATAAATGCTAGTATATATATTTATTAAATGAAGGAATAATGTCTTTATATATTTATGTTATAGAAATAAATCGTATTGATTTATTCTTATACATATAACTTTATTAAAAAGAAAACGAAATTTATACTTATTTAATATTAAAAACTAATCTTAACAAATAAATTAACGATTTATATTTGAAATATTCGAGCGAAATTTGTGTCCATTAAAAATATTGTATAATAATCAACGAATCTTATGTTCATTATTTCTGGATTTCTTATAAATTAATATCTCGCTATAATTAGTCTAGAAAATTGTTCTATTCATTGCGAAATTCATAAAATTGTAGGCGAGCTTTTTTGTTTTTAAAGCCGTAAGACACGTAACTTTAAAATGTTATTACATAGACAGAGATCCATATAAGCAGATATATGGACACGTACGTAAATATATGTATATGTATATATACACACACACACACACACATATATATATATATATATATATATATATATATATATATGCATACATACATACATGCATACACACGCACGCACACACACGCACGCACACACGCATATATATTTATTGTTTGATTTACATCGAAAATATATCACCACGCAAACGTATATTATTTATATACCTTCACCTTATTTATTCATCTGCCTCTAATTACTCTTTTGAATTTTACAATTTGTTTTTAATTTACTTATTTTATTTTTTACTTAAAATTATTCTTATATAATCTTTAACATGATAATAATTAATATACTATAATAATATTCTAATAGAATTTTAAATTCGTGTCCTTCATGACGCGCCTCATCAACGACATCATCAACGCAGAAATCATTATCAACATTTTCCATGCTCTCAACACTTGATATATATATATATATATATCAAGAATGTTATATATATACATATATACTTGATATATATAATCTATACGCATTAGTTTAATTCAGTATATTAAAAACCGCGCAAAATCAAATTCGCAAGTCCTCAAATGTTTATTATTAAATTAATGGTATATATATATTGTTGAAATACAAATACAAAATTATATAGTTGAAAAAAAATTTTCATTTCAAAATAAAAACAAAAGAAAATATGTTTTCAGATTTGGTTCATTTTTATTGTTTTTTTTTATTCTTAAGTCAAATATATAAGTTGATGAGTGATACCGGTAATTAGATTAAA